GATGAAAATTTGGTAGCTCTTTTCATGTCGCTGTTGTAATTATTTACACGATCACTGTTATCATATATGATGTCGTAATTACCGTTCCTATCATCGTGAAAGTCTTGGGTATTTTATTCAGGTACTCTTCTGCCACTATTAAAGAAGATTATAGATAAAAAAATGGAGTAGTTAAAAAGAAATGTTTGCAGAATACTAACTATGTAATTGTAATAAAACTATTACTACCAGCCTTGATTAAAGAATATAACTGATATACTTGTTAAATATACAATAACAAGAGAAAACGAAATCTGAAATTAAAATAAACTCATTAAAACTAAAAGTAAATTTAAAAAGAACTCAAACTTAAACTGGAAATAATGCTAGGTTTGAAGATCAAACGCTGGTCATCTGGTCAATCTAATTCAACAGTATATGCAAAACACGATAGACTTTGCTGATCAAAATTCAAATTATATCTAATAAAAGATAAGTGAAATTTCCATCAACGAAACAGTAGCATTTAAGTCATCTTCCCACAGTCTTTAAAGGGTGATCGTTAAAGGCAACTAGTGCTGCTAGCTACCACAAAGACAACAACCCTAGTTCTATTTTTCATATATATATATATATCTTGGTTTCATATCAAATACGTACAGAACAGGAAAATTACAAATGTTTTATATATTTACCTTCAGTAGCTATAGGGATGGAAGTATAATAAAAACACACCACTTTTGGTGCACTTTTTCAAAGTTATTACCTTATTACTCGTAACATAAACCCATACGAAAACTTTATAATTCTGAGACAGTTTTATAGTATGGATGGGATACTTCGCTATCCCTCACGACTTTATACATCATATCATCCTTATACATATATGTACTTCATATATCGAGAAGATCCTATTAATATATATATGTATTATTTTCATGTGTTGCCTGAAATGAGATCACTGTTTTGGAGTTCCTGATTTAGTATTCTTGTTATTATCTTGCTTTTGTCCTCTCTCTTAAGATTACTCTCTGCGTTTGGTTTATTATCCTAGAAATCTTGCCTTTTTTACTTAAGCATTAATCTCAACATGTTACTTCACGATGTTAAGAATCCAGAGTTCCCCAAAAAATCAATGAAGAAACCAAAATGAGACTCCCTATAACCCGAGCGCTTTCAAAATCCAGATCTTCATTCACCAACATTTTTTTTTTGTGCTTCATAACTTATTATTAAGTGATGTTTCGTTAGACCTTACTTAACTTTCGATATATCACATCAAACTTCTGGAGATATTATATCAATCCTCGAATTATTATGACGTCACATTATAAAGATCTGAGCTTAATCTTATTATATTATCACATCACTCTATAAAAATCTAAACTTAATCATAAAACATTGTCGCGGCATTCTCTGAAGTCCTTAACATTATCATAGGATATTATCACGTCACTTTTATATACCTGTACTTAATCACAAGATATTATCACACAACTCTCTTAAGGCCTGTTCTTAATCATATAATATTATCATGCCATTCTCGTAAGGCCTGTTCTTAGTCATATAATATTATCTTGCCCCTTTTCATGAATTATTCATGTAATATTTGGGGTATTATCATCATCTCGCCTCTTTAGAGGTTAAGGATTAACCTTGAAAGTATTATTGAATATTTCTTGAAATCACGACTTAGGAATATTGTCACAATATTTTTCTAAAAGTGTATCATTTACTAACATTTCAGTACAATGGAGATGGCAATTAAGTTGCTAATTATTATTATTATTAAGAAGTTTTCTAGATTTCGTATTTCAATTTTTAGATCATCAAAACAACACTTTTATGAATATTTTGATGTGATTTTTTGAGTTGTTATTATAACAGTTATTAAAAATATTAACTAAACATAGGGTATAATAATTTTCCATGAGTGTCCAAATTAATTATTGACTAATAAAACAAGTCATGAATATATTTTAAACTTCGGGGTTAGTTTTAATCGCTGTTTGAGGAATATTTCGAAAAGCACTTTGACATAATGACATAAAAAAATTACAAACGAGTGTTAGAGGTAAGTTTTAACTTGCGTGGAATGGTGAATTATTCAAGGGATACTTGTTTATTGTAAAACTGAAAAGTTTAATATTATGACAAATACAAGAATATTGCGGTCTAGTTTTAAATATGTTACTTAAGAACCAAAGAACTAAAGAGGTTGGATGTATATTTATCAATGACAATATTTATGAGGGAGATGTTTATGATGAATATTTATGGTTAAATTATTGCTAACACTTGTAAGTCTCAAAATCAGGGCTCGATCCCTGCACAGCGCAAATAATCAATTGTATAAATGTGCGCTTAATAACAAGCTAAACATATAAGCAATATTATCAAACACGATATTTTTAAAAAAAGAAACACTTTGAATTACAAACTTATCTTTTTTTGCCACTAAAGTATTTTAACAAATTATTTGGAAAAGTAAAAACTCATTAGATGAGACGTGTGAATGATTTAGGCTTTGAAAATGATACTACAATTGGATTTTAAAAACTGCATGTGCCCCCCACACTGGATCAGCGGTAACTCCCCAGGCTTACGACGTTAAAAATCGGGTTTCGATACTCGTAGTGGGCAGAGCACATATAACCCATTATGTAGCTTTGCGCTTAACAGCAAACAACCAAACTGAATGTTTTTTCTTGCTTTCAAGTTTTTGTAAGCATGTTTTTCAAAACGATCAGTTATACTCATTTCAAGCTTTTCAATATTCGAATTTGTATGCCTTGTCGTGTGACGAGATTCCATGCTCAAGTCTTTCATTCAACCCAAACAGAAACACAAACTTCAATGGATCGTTCTAAGAAGCTTACTGTAAACTGCTTACTTCTCATTTCTATAACATAGAAATATTTTAATTTTAAAGATACTTCACACACAATATCTTACTAACAGACAGGGAACACATAAATTCACATCATTTCCTTTCCAGTGTTGTTGAAAAATACATGTAACAATAGTTAGAGAACTTCAACTGGATTCTGCAATTTGTCATCGCTCCCTATTTATAGATATGTGTGTATGCAAAAATTTTAGACGTTTTTGGCAGAGAATGTTTTAAAATTTCAAACAAGAGGGAATCCTCAATAGCCGCGGCTGTAATTATATCTCAGATAGGTCAAGAGATGGAGCTATGAGAAGTTTGTATTAAAAACAAACAAACTCAGAGCCATTCTATGAGCCGCTATGTCGCGACTAAAAAAGTACTTTGTTTATTTTAATTTTGAAAAATTTCATGCAGTAACATTAACAACTTACATTTTGTTGTGTTCACATAATACCACAATAATTACCTTTTAACTTCAGGAAGCTAGCTATGAGTTTTCGAAATTGTTTTTTCTTTGTTTTTCACATAATTCACAGCCAAACATATTATTACAAAAATTGTTACTACTATAGTCGTTATTGTTATAAAAACCATTACTACAATAAACATTATTGTTAAAAAATCGTTATCTATAGACGTTATTATTGCGAAACCATTACTATTATAGACATAAAACAATTACTACTACAGATTTTATTGTTACAAAAATAACTGTAACGTCTATTGTAGTAACGTTTTTTAACAAAAACGTTTACAGTGGTAATGGTTTTTGTAACTGTAACGTCTATTGTAGTAACGTTTTTTAACAAAAACGTTTACAGTGGTAATGGTTTTTGTAACAAAAACGTCTATACTAGTGCCGGTTTTTGTAACAATAAAATCTACAGTTGTAACGTTTTTTGTAACAAAAACGTCTATACTAGTGCCGGTTTTTGTAACAATAAAATCTACAGTTGTAACGTTTTTTGTAACTATAACGTCTATTGTAGTAACGTTTTTAAACAAAAACGTTTACAGTGGTAATGACAAAAAACGTTACAACTGTAGACGTTATTGTTACAAAAATCCGTGACTAAATTGTTTAGAAAGCAAGATTTATCACAGTATTCCTGAGTTACACCATTGTATATAACAATTCAACTTTGAAATCACGATATATTGATTAATTTGTTCGAATTATATTAATTCAGAATTGAATAGCATCGCAGCGCATTCATTCATAGGGATTTATATCTCAAGATAGATTCACAGTTTCTGTTTGGCACAAAATGTATTTTTCGTGAAATTTTAGATTTAATGAGTATAATTTTAAATAGTTGATTTCATTGAAGTTAATATCTACGCATATCTTGAGATGGACTTGATTAAGTTAGGACGTCCAAAATCTGTATACTCATCAAATCGCTAAGCCTCAGACATGGATTTCAAAATGATTAGAAGTGTTTTGATAGGTTCTAAACCATTTGAAGTATTTAAATCTTTAATAAAAAAACTTACCAGAACGTTTATTCACCATTAAAAGCTAATGGGTTATTTAGCAATTATTCACATCTTTTGGTAACTTAACTTTAAGATCGCGAAAGCTTCTAAAATGATTGGCAAACAATTACCAAAGAAAGGTTTGGAATATTAATTCAGGCCGATGAGGAGAAGTTAAACCTTATCACATTAACCGCAAGTTCTATGTCAAATCAGTTGTGAAAACATTTAAGCTCAAGATCTACAACGGCTGATTTATTGCATCACGTTATAACGCCAAATGTTATAAAGAAAGGAATGAAGGAAAAGTAAAGGAAGAAGAGCCACACGGAGGAGGCAACACATCGGCTTTGACATTCAGAGAGAAAAATATCAAATGTTAGTTTTCAGCCAAACACCAATAAGAATGTAATCCGGAAAGCGATAGTGTTCCAATCTATCTGTAACGAACGCCTGTGGGGTTTGGGAGCTGCCCTTCCTTCGGGGCAAGCTACTCAGATGTGGACTACGTCTCTTAGTGTACACTATTATCAGTGTGTTGTACACATGAACTGGCCCACATTTTGTTGGCTATTTCCACATAACAATTGAGGACAGAAAGTTGTATATAAGCTCGATGTTTCTATCGTCGTTATCCAATAACGTTTTCTTTTACTCAGAAAGCAAGCAGGATATACAACAAAATGCTGCTTAAGGTAGGAGATCAACTAAACAAACCTGTTTCATTTGTTCATATTTAACAAAATATTCTGGCCTAGAGATGTCTATCATTTCGTTTGTCAGTGTTGTTTTGTGTAAAGTAAAATATTAAAAGAGATGTTCATACTTCTTTATATATTTGTGCTATAGAAAAAACAATGCATTAATAACCTATTTAGTATATTTATATTTATTAACTGGTTTTTATTTGATCTTATTTTTTACTGTAAATAGTTGGTGTAAGGAACTAAATCTCAAACTTTTTTTTGGAAACGGCCCAGCAGGGAAACTAACAAAACGTTTAAAGTTGTAATTTTCCACTTCAAGAAAAAAACGTCATCACAATTATTAGATCCAACTATTTTTTTGTTAGTATGAAAGTAAATACAAAATTATTGATTGTATTCTACTGACTTCTATTTATGTAGGTGGTACTCTTGTGTCTGGTCGCCGCTGCTAGTGCTGGCATTGTCCCTGCACACTACAACTATGCCGCCCCTGCCTATCCCGCCGCCTATCATCCAGTTAAAGCTGCATATGCTCACCCTGCTCCAGCTTACGCTGACGTTTACGTATGTTTGATCCCAATACTTTTATTTAAAACCAGCAAAATAATATGCGAATTTATATTTTTCAAAATATTTTTTGCAATAAAAATGATTAAATTGTCACTGAATCAACTAGAGCTAAAGATAAATTTGACAAAAGTCACAGTAAATGTTTTTACAAGAACCTAAAAATATTTTAAACATGTTAGTTAATTATGTCCTGTATTTTTGTTTGTGTTTCACATTTTAGGCCAAGCCTGAGCCTTACAGCTTTGGTTATGAAGCTAAAAATGATTACGATGGCGCCCTATGGCAACAGGAATCAGGAGATGAGTATGGCAGTAAACGTGGTTCCTATGGCTACACTGACGCCTATGGCATCAGCCGTACCGTTGAATACGTTGCCGATGAAACCGGTTTCCACGCCTGGATCAAGACCAACGAACCAGGTACCGCTAACCAAAACCCCGCTGATGTCCAGATTGCTGCCGACCCCATCCCTGCTCCAGTTTACACTCATCCCAAGGCTGTTGTAGCTTCCCCTCATTATGCTAAGGCTGTTGTTGCAGCTCCAGCCCACTATGGTCTCAGTTATGGCCATTAATTATTTGTTAATAAGCAATTGCTAAACTTGTTAGTTTGTGCCTTATATAACCATTTATTGCCAAATATTGCTGATGTTAGTGTTTATAAAAAAATCTCATTCGATTTGTTAAAAAAGTAAAATATAAACTTATCCATAGACAGTTTTAAATGTAATTTTGGATTTTTTACTTTCTTTAAATCTTTTTACAGTAGATCAAGGGCGCCCGTAGAACAAAGTTATGAAATCGAAATACAAATACCTTATGATTTTCCATTAACATAGAAGAATAATTTTACATATCTGGTAATTTTGTTTTAGAAAATCCAGGGAAGGTTGAACAAATGAAAAACAGGAAAATCATGCAGCATTGAAAATTATAAGTATTAAATTATATATATATATATCACGCTTGTGTTTAGTGCATTATGTATACGTCGCAGATTTATTCAGCGATATAATACGTCATCGTGTATGTATCGTTTTCAATTATGTCGAATAAACTGAAAAAGAAAAACTGTTTTGTTTCTGTGTTTATTATTGAAAAAGAAACTTATGCAATTGTACTTATTTACTGAAACAGTGACACCTCTAAAGTTTACAGAGGTATTCATTTCAGGATTCACTTTAACCCTCAAGTTAGCGACTTGTGTTTGTACCATTCATTGTTTGTTTTAAATATTCGAATGCTGGGACTTTACTGTCACTCTTATAACACACACATAAAGTGTGGAACGTAAATTTTTGTTTTTTTTAATGAGATCCGAGCCAGAATACCTTCAGATCACCAGTCACTTTTACATGTAAGCAGTGATTGACACCAGTGTTGTATTTGAAATCTGAAAAAGAAATACTAGTCATACAACACGAAACTGTCTTCCTTCCATTTAATATTTCTATTCATTTGTACATATTACTCTAAATAGGTATACATGTATATATATATATATATATATATAATATAGAAAATGTAAGAAAAGTCCCAACGACCAACAAAAGTCTATTTTTCCATTCGTCTCTTTCGTCAGCCAAACACAATTCTTTTTATATGAAATAGATATCATTACAAGCATCTTATTTTACAGAAAAGCTTACAAATGAGTATTGATGTGTATATATTACCATTATTCTACGCAAATTTTTTGCTTAGTCCTTTCATGAATGTGTTTGGTGTATCATAATTCTGCGCACTGAGTGATCTGTTTCAGTAAGGTGCTACAAGATGTATTCATATATTTTTAAGCTATGCTCTAGCTCATTCTGTATTTGTCTTTGCCCCATGGTTGATCAGTGGTAAGTCTGAGAATTTGGAATCCTAAAGTCAAGGCAAATATATCCAGTTTTGCCCTAAAACATTGACAAATCATTTGCTTTTCTTCTTAACTAAAACAGTTTGTGGTGCATCGAACTGAAGATTTTAAAAATGTTTTCAGCTTTATTTTGAAATTTCTTCTTTTAGTTAATTAATAAGTATTGAAAAAGTACTCTTAGCCTCGGATTTACAGTCCGAGAACTCTAACCATTAGGCCACGCCTAATCAAATATGCATTTAACAATATATTTGTTTACTTAATAAATTTTGTGTCCAATTACAATTTTATCCTTTTCAATGGAAATGGCCTTAGCGAAAGACGTTACCTCATGTCTCCCAGTGGCTCAGCGATAAGTCTTATAGCGTTAAAAACCGGATTTCGATACCAGTAGTGGGCACAGCTTAACAACAAACAAATCTCCCTCATTTTTAACTTCCTACGGTTTTAAGTGCATGCAATTCTATAATGGCTCTTCAGAGTCAAACATTTTTAATGTACTTTTTGTTTTATCATACAAAAAAGCAACATCGTTCCTCTTCAATCAGCTAATGAAAATGTTAATTCTTTCTTATGAAATATTTTAGCTTATCAAGGATGCTGATTGACAACTGGAATTCTACTCAGAAACTGAACTACTTTTTATTATAAAGCAAAGGCCTTTGATTACTAATAATAAAGAATAGGACTTGTCGAAATTTGAACTTTTTTACTCAGACATATTATTTCTAGAAAATGTACAGTAGTTTTTATGTCTCAGCTAGCTACACAAAGTAATCGTAATTCGTAGTATTAGCCCTTCTTTGCAATGATACCGTGAAACAGCCTATAAAAAGTAACTTTCTGATAAATTATGTTTGGATATTAGATTAAGTAACACAATCATAAATTAAGTCCAAAACTTCTAATTATTTTATAAGTGAAATTTAGTTTTTAATAACTCACCCGGAATTAATAATTAAGTTTAAAAATTGACTTTTGTTAGTTTTGAAACTGTATATTGATTATTTGAAAATTCATTTGATGTCGTCCTCCGGTGGATCATTAGTAAGTTTACGAGCCCTATATCTAGGGTACGATACCTCACAGTGAACAAAGTGTAGATATCTCATAGTGTAGGTTTGCACTAAGAAAACAACAAACTGAATTTAAGTCAGTAAGCACTACTAAGCAGGTGTAATGTTGCCAAAACATTTTTTATTAAATATATTTTTGGAAATGTACATACACTTATCTAATGTATTAATTATATAACACTTTCTTCTTTTTTTTGATATTTTCTATACTACGACAGAATATCATACATAACCATTTTTAATTATTTCTCAGGGAAACATCATTTAAAAAAAAGATACGTCTCATATCGATGAAAAGAAAAACACACTAACTAGACATTAATTAGTTGGAAACAAAAATTATTATTAGCTATGCATATTTTGCTTTACAACGAAAGTAAATACTTATATAATATATTCAGATATTCACAGTCATTAGAAGCTGTAGTTCATGCTTTCTTTATTTCATAGGTTAAGAACCCTACATAGGCATTGATATTATACCAAAGTAACTTTACTGAATTATATACGCATCTGATGAACTTCTTAATAACTGGTGTGTTTAAGAATTGTGAAAATTAATAATGACTTAAAATGATAATTCAACTAGTTTTAGCTAGGCTTAAAACTCAATAACTGGCAGATTACTAATTTACACCCAAGTAGGTTTAGCGTTTATTATAAAAACTGACAATCATATTAAGTCAGGTTAAAGATGATCATCATGCGAGTTATGAAAGACTTGTAAAAATATTGTTTCCTGGTAAATGTTAACAGTAGCTTTAAGAATTATAAGCTTTTAGTTACGTATCTCTAGGCTTAAAATCACAAATGATTCACCATTCTGTATACTGTAGACTAATATAAAGATATATGAAAAGGGTGCTTAGCATTTCATTTGCTAACATTTGCTTATTTTTGTCTTTCTTGTTTAAACAGAACATTTATTACCTATAAAATTTTAAGGCTGTACTAATATTTTATATTTGTTTATTGTACTTTCTAGTCTTCGTTTCAGTATAGTCATATGCTCAATTAAAGAAGATCACTGCATTCGTTCGTGTAATAACCATACCTCTGATAAAAGACGTTTTTTTTTTAATTTCTGTCTGTAAAAATATTATTTGTGATAACCATAGTTTTGGTATCCAGTTTTTGGTGCTTCTGTGGTGGTGGTTGTTTCTGGTTTGTAGTAGTATTTTGGCTGTATCTTATAACCGTAATAACCATAATGGGACGATTGTGTGGTTTCTGGTGTTTCTGTGGTTGTTGGTTTGTAATAGTAAACTGGTCGTACCTTATAATTGTAATAACCATAATGAGACGGGTATGCTTCTGGTGCTTCTGTGGTTGTTGTTGTTGGTTTTGGTTTGTAGTAGTATTGTGGGTGTACCTTATAGCCGTAATAACCATAATTGGGCGGGTATGTAGTTTCTGGTGCTTCTGTGGTTGTTGTTGTTGTTGGTTTTGGTTTGTAGTAGTATTGTGGGTGTACCTTATAGCCGTAATAACCATAATGGGGCGGGTATGTAGTTTCTGGTGCTTCTGTGGTTGTTGTTGTTGTTGGTTTTGGTTTGTAGTAGTATTGTGGGTGTACCTTATAGCCGTAATAACCATAATGGGGCGGATATGTAGTTTCTGGTGCTTCTGTGGTTGTTGTTGGTTTGTAGTTGTAAGCATAGCTTTTGCGAACGAAGATCGGACGATATCCCTGGTCAATTCCATATTCATCCATGTCGTCGTCATTCTGTGATTCGTCCTACATGATAAAAAATAATTACTGAACAAGTGATGATGATTAGATTTTATGATTGAATTATAATTTTGAAACGGGAAAAATTAGCCGATAAATGAGACAGATTCGGTTCGAAATTATATTATTTTAATTAGCTGTAAATAAGTAAATTAGGGGCCAGTCCAACTTCAGAGAAAAGTCGAGAAAAGCAACGTAATATTTGTAATCCCAGGAATACTTAATCATAATTTTGGCCTAGTGGATTCATAAATTTCGCTTTAGCAAATAAGCTTAAAACGTTGTCGCAATGGGATTTCTTATTTTAATTTTGTAAATATATATCATGGAAGAAAGAATAGCGTTGGTCAACTGAAATTTACTCAAAATAAACAGTCGTGTAAAACAGAATATCTTTATCGTTAGATTAAAAGCTAACACTCATAAAAAAACATGCTACATATAAAATGTGTTTTAATTTTATTTTAAATTGCTTACATTAAAAACACTTTGAAATTCCTTAAAGTGCATATTTTTATCTTTGGTGGCATTTCACTAAATCGTTCAAGTGCTTTCTTTTGTTATGCATTAGCCCCACCTCCCCCAGCGACTCAGCGGTAAGTCTGAAGGTTTATAACTCAACAAATGGGGTTTCGATACACGTGGTTGTCAATAACACAGATAACCCACTGTGCTTAACAACAAGCAAACAGAACAAATAGTTGTATATTAACCATTGTGCCACCTACTGTGAGGTATTTGATGAATCTATTTAATAGGAATCTACTAAAACCTTATAAATCTAATACAATTCTGGCGAGAAATCAAAAGCAAACGAAATTCAACTTCAAATCACTGGTACAATGCTATGTGCGCAGCTTTAATTTCTAGCAGGGCTGTTTCAACTGATATGTAGAAAATCTG